CTGCTTTAATAACATGAAAGAGTAGAACTCTCATTTTACAAATTTTCCTTGTGTGAATCTGAAAATATATTTCAGAAAATCTAAGATGTTATCCTTTTACAAGATACACCACTATTTTATATATGATCGAGAAAGATAAATCTTCAGTCAAGCAAAGGATAATATTCAAACAGCTACGTGGAATGGCTCAATTTTAGAGATATTAAAATGGGAAAAAATGTGCACCTTAGAATTGAAGAAATACTGTAGAACTTTGGGTACATCAACTTCAACTTCAGCTTTAACATTTTTATAATTCTTAAAACTGAGACAGTTTTACTCAAATGAAATAAGTTAAGTTCTCAACAACTAGTCTGTAGTATTCAAACACCTGTTAATATGTACTACAAGGCAAAGGACCTAGTGTGTGTGTATACACACATACACATATATATTTCTAAGTTTAAAAATTTTGAGAACAGATTTAACTTTAGTTGAATAAAAATTACCTGCAAGCATGCATCTCTTTTGTCAGTCCCACACCATGTTTTTCATAAATTGATGTACAAGAAACACCTTCATCCAGCCCCCTAAATAAATCCAAAGTTTTCACTGTAAACAAAGTTTAAAATATCCAAATTTCTTAATGTCTCATGTTTCTACATGGCTGATTTTAAAAGTGTAACTTCCTTATAATCTTCTTAGAAATGCTTACCATAAATTTAGAAACGAAAATTAAAAATCTCAAAATCTTAACATAAATAATTATGAATGGTCTAAAACATAACAAATAAGTTAATCAATGTATTTCTCACATAAGATGGCTCTAAATTCTTGTTTATTAACACCATTATCCTTTTAAGGCTATGCAAAAACTATAAGAGTCAATAATAAAAGATTAAGCATAACTGACTTGAGAATTCCAAACTAAAGATTAAATTATTTTTAGTTTCTATTTGTAGTTTCTCCTTTATACCTTTAGCATCAAACTAAGAAATACTATGCATAGACTGTCATTTTCAGAAAGGCATCAATTCAAAACCTTCCCTGAGCTAAATAATGCATAGGTTAGAAGTACAGAATTTATGAGTCAGATAATGTCTAAAATCTGTAAAAATCTTAAATAGGACCCAACTAACATTTAATTTTCCCCAAAATGTCTTATTTATGTTTATTTTAACTAAGGTATAAGCACAGTACTCCACAACAAACAGAACCTTACATATATTCAATTTCGATCCATTTCCACTTTCTTAAAAGTTATATGTGCATGTGAGTATGCACACACATATGCTCACTCACATGCTGGGGATGAAACCCAAGGTCTTATACATGCTAGGCAAGTGCTCTATCACTGAACTATACCTATAGTCCCTCCATCAGTCCTCAGGAGGTTAAGACAGGAGGATCACTTGAGCTCAAGAATTTGGGGCCAGTCTGGGCAAAAATAAATTTTAAGGTATTACTCCAATGTATGTTACCCAAAGATAACACGTCTGACAACATTTCATTCTTTATCCAAACAGTAAAATTAAATTTCTATTTCTGTATATTAGTATGGTCCTCAAGTACAACTGGATGGGACTGTCAACAAATCAGAAAGTAATAATTCAGATCCTCTAATTAAATCATAGCGAGCTACATATGCTGCTCAGAGGTAGAATGCCTTCTTAGCAGGTTCAAGACCCTAGGTTTAATTCCCAGCACCACCTACATGAATAAATCTATTTTAAACAAGCTATTAGACATAATTTTTTTAAAAAATCACTTTGAGGTGAAAATCAAAAGACCTCAGACTTCAGAATACTTTGGTATCATACTGCTTCTAACTTTTATGTAAATTTTACCCAATACAAGTTACAGGTAGGGATTTAAAAAAAAAAAAATACCAAGTCTTCAAAAACACTGGGGGGAACTGGGACTGGTGATGTATGCCCATAATCCCAGTGGCTTAGAAGGCTGAGTAAGGAGGATCTCAAGTTCAAAGCCAGCCTCTGCAACCCAAATGAGGCACTGAGTAACTATGTGAGACCCTGTCTCAAAATAAAACATAAAAGGG